AACCTCCATCTAACAAGACAAAGAAAAGGGGGGACAAATGAGAAACCAAATCAATCCGTGGAAAATCATGGCATGTGAAACAAGAAGCTGAAATCTGCATATCATTATAATGCAATACTCACTGTGTGGATTCGGAGAGTACGCAAAATCAGGAACCTACACAACAACGAAACATTATAAACACGATCGTACAGAAAACGAACATCCGAACCCATAAGATCAATGATTTCAGTTCACCTGGTGATAACCATTTTGAGTAACCTTTTGCTGGGGTGAGTCACCATCAGCTGTCAATAACAGTAGAAACCGTTCTTAGCTAAATTTTTTGGCAACAGAGTGACTAAGATTAAAATTTTGAATGAATTGAATCATGAAGTTAAAACTGGTGTTCATATATTTGCTACCTATGAGTGTAGCTGTCTGCTCCCCAGGCTGATTCAACCTGACCCATTCATCCACAATCTCCTTCCATTTTCTGATGAACAACACCAAAACAAATTGAAGTTCTTAACACCGTTTGAGCTGATTATTCACCAACCATTCTCTGAAATTTACCAAGCATCAACCATTTTATCCATTTGTAAAGCTTATACGAACCTGACAAGATGTTTCACCAATCTGCGAACATCATTTGATGAATGCTTCCTCAACCGGTTCACATGCCTTCCAATATCAGTTTCCTATACAAAACCAAGGACAAGAACAATTAAGAAACATAGAAGAAGAAGAAGAAGGAAGCAACAGAACCCAGAAATTCAAAAGAATTACATTCACAAAGAACAAGAAAAAGCACCATAAACAATCACCTTAAGAGCTTGGAATGTTATATCCATGTCTGCCAAGTTTTGAAGCAGTTCAACCAAGGCATCTTCAGGCTGAAACAAGCCAAACAATCACCAATTGGGTAAGTTAAGAGAATTTCCCCCAAAAACAATCAAACAATTCTAGATAATCAGAATCAAAAGAAGAATACCTGGTGAGGAATTTCAAGCTGCTCCTTTATTTCTAAAACCTTCTTCTGTTCATCATCAAACAAACCTCCATACGGGTCTACTCCCTCGTCGTCTCCTTCGACTACAACGAACTGCGGCGTCGAAGGGGAAGCTTCCTTAGCCTCAACGGGGCTCTGTTTGATTTCACAGCCATTAGAACGGCCGTCGTTATAGCGATCCGTATCGCAATTCCGACATCGAGTAGGAGGCGAAGTCAACGCATAGAGCCTCTCAACGATTCCGTCTCTCCGATTTTTCAATTGATTGCCGTAATCCATTGAAGCAACCTCCATAGCTGTATCGATGAAGGTCCAAACATCGACACCGGCTGTATCCAATATGGTCCGGAAATCATCTAAATCCAACCGAACCATTTTTTAGTGAATCCGATTAGAAGAATCGGCGATTGAGAAAGGTTATCTTCCCGATAAACAATCTGAAAAACGTTTGTACTTCTCGTTTTCAGTAGTGGACTCTGAAAACATAAACCGATCTAAGAAGGAAGTTTACTATTCAAAACGCTAGAAATTGCAGAGAGAACCCAGTGGCGGAAAAGCAAAATCGTCATAATCCATTAGGAAATCTTTTGAAAGGATAAAAAAAAACCCAAATGACGCAGAATAGATCTGATTCGATCCTCAACAAAAGTTAAAAACCGATCGTTTTCAGGAATCCGAATTCACAGTGGCCCTCGAAAGGAAGAAGAAGACTCCTCGAAACGAAAACCCAAGACACAGACAAAAAACACAAGAAAAAGAAACTGGAACAATAAATTAAAAAGAACCCAAAACAAAAACCGCGGAATATTCCTCAAGAAAACGAGGAACAGCCGAATTTCATCCCCAAAAAATCACAGGGAAATTGTTTGATGAGGCAATTTACATTGGCTGGAACAAGAAGGAGAAGAAGAAAAAGAAGAATGTCCCAAAATTAAAACCCAAATCGAGAATTTTCCTTTTCCTGTTCCCTTTTGGACTTTCCGGTTTAGTTAATTGTCTCATGCATCATCCTCGTCATAGAAGCGATATTCAAATTGTTACAGAGCTCCGCCATGAAAACGAAACCCAAAGCTTCTGAACCGAAACGACGGCCGGAAATTGATCTGAGAAAGAATGGAGGGAATGTGAAAAGAGAATATTGAAGCGTGTTGGGTTGAAATTTGTTCCTATATCCAGATAGGATTTTTCTTCCCCCTCACAGCTCTGACCGTCCCAATTCCTTCCCCACTCGCATTCATCGGCGCGTGGAACAAAAAAATAATCTCACATTAATGGCCCAAATCCAGGCCCATTTATTCTACTAATTTAGGAATTAAACCCCTCACCTTTCCCCTTTTTACCAAATTTATAATTTCCCCTTCATTTCATTTCATTTTCCCTAAATCCTTTTTAATTATAATCTAATTCTATTTAATTACTAAACATAGACTAATCCAAATACCATAATCCTAACAAATTGCCCCTCCAAATATTTAATTTGCGTTGTGCTATAATTTTAAATTTAATTATTTTAATTTTTATTATATTATTGGGACTCACTCGTTTAAGGAGGCCTGTATCTAATTTAAGGTTGTCTCTTGATCTACCATTGTAGATAATCACTACACAATCTAATTTTAGAAGACAGTCTTGTCTGTCTTCTCCCAGGATACAAACAAAAGAAAAAGATTGAAAAATTAAAGTAACGTTAGAAAGGTTGACTCATTGAAATATATGACGGTAAGAAATTGGTTTGAAGGTTCACATTTGGAAAGGAAAATGGCCAATGGGGGCATACATAAAAATAAATTAATAGGGTTGAATTATTAGGGTGGAGATGATTGAGATATGGATATGGGCATTTAAAGAGGTTAAAGCAAGTGATGGAGTGAGGGGTGGTGATGGTGATTAGTGGGGGCCGGGATTGCAGGGCTGCCCTCCGCTGTGGCCCTCTATGCCTCTCAGAATTGGGAGTTCGGTGCTAGACATACCGCCCACCCAAAGCGCCCACCGAACCACTTACTTTCATTGTGTATGGATGAGACTTTAAATTGGTTCGAAAGAGTACTAAATCTTCATTGTAACAGTATGGAAGTCTATTTATTACCTAGCGTATTTTAAAATGGTGAGATTGACGACGAGATGTAACGAACTAAAGCAGACAATATTTACTAACGGTGGGCTTGAACTGTTACAGTTGGTATTAGAGTCAGACACTGGTATTAGAGTTAGACGCTCAACGGTGTGCTAGCGAGAACGTTGAACCTCTAAGGGAGTGGATGGTGCGATTTCATATTAGTTGGAGAGGGGACGAGAGGATCCTCAAATAGGGTGTATTGTGAGATCTCACAATTGGAAAGAAAAACAAATAATTTCTTGTAAACTTGTGGAAACTTCTATCTAATAAACGTGTTTTTAAATCTGAGATGAATTTAAAATAAGTTTTATCAGTTATGAAACTTTATAAAAATAAAATCTAAGAAGAAATAAGAACTTTAATATTGGTATTTCCACAGATAACATATGGGCCGTCACAAAGCCCATTTTCGTTTTTCATTTTCCACGTGTTGCATTATTAAAGGATAAGAAGCACAAGAGAGTAAAGGAAGACGGGAGGGGACGAATTATGATAAAAAAGAAAAAATAGATGGCCCATGCAGGTTTCGAACCTGCGACCTTCGCGTTATTAGCACGACGCTCTAACCAACTGAGCTAATAGGCCACACGTTATCTCTGCATAAATGATTTTATAAGACGATAAATAAAACACTTTTAGCAAAATTATTATTAATCAGTATGTTTTAGTTTCCTAACTTCCATTTAATGCTAGAAAGATTTGAATTTTCAACCTTGAGAGAAAAGTATATGTCAGCTACGTGTTCTAATTTTGACAATTAGTTGAGAAAAAGATATGATTGTATATCTGATACTTGGGTTCTTCCAATAACTTAAAAGTGGAGATAGGGTTCGATCAAAACGTGGATAGGCATGTCTTATCATCCATTAGATTATGTGTTTGGTCTATAGGGATCTTCTACCTTAACGGAAACATTTAGTAGAGGGATAGGAACAGGTCGTTGTTTTTAGTTATATAGCCATGTTGAACTATATTAGGATGTTACAATTTTCTTTTGTTGTGTTGATGGAGATTTATTTTTGATGATTATAGATTAATTTGTATCGTTTTAATATATTTTATGTAAAATTTTATCGAATAATTATAAATGTGGATACATCGAGATTTTTTTTTAAATGATTTTTTTTTAAATGATTTTTTTTTAACAACAAAAACCAAAGTAGAAGACTCCTGCAATTATCTATACAAACAGTTGTTCTCGAAATTTACCTTCATACTACTTTTACTATAAATTATTAATTGGTAATTGATATCTTAACTAAAATAAGTTTTATTGGTTATGAAATTATTATAAATAAAATCAAAGAAGAAATAAGAACGTTAATATTCGCAACATATGGGCCGTAACAAAGCCCATTTTCATTTTTCTCGTGTTACATTACTATAGGATAAGAAGCACAGGAGTGGACGGGAGGAGAACGTACTATTTATAAAAAAGAACAGATGGCCCATGCAGGTTTCGAACCTGCGACCTTCGCGTTATTAGCACGACGCTCTAACCAACTGAGCTAATAGGCCACATGTTATCTACACATAAATAATATTATAAGTCTCATAAATAAAACAGAGCAAAATTATTATTATTAATCAGTACGTTTTAGTTCCATAACTTTCATTTTATTTACTTCAAATAATATGGTATATCTTAATCAACCTAATTAATTCGGTAGAGTAATTACTGGTTTATAATCAAATAATATTTGGTATGAGATTTTTTTTTAGAAAATACAAAGCAAAGCCATGAGAGCTTATACTTCTGGACAATATCATAACATTATGATATCAGAATCATGCTCTAAATTTAGCTATCTCAATCTATTCCGACTAATTTTGATGTGTTTTTTTTTTTTTTTTTGGATTTTAATCTCGTATTTTCCGTAGTTCCTTAAAAGGGAGTTAAATTTGAGTACGCGCGCGCCATCCGGCGATGAATCTCATTGAAAGAAGGAGGCTGTAAAGGCGGGGACGGAGAAATATGAGCGTATCAGAATTACCGACGAAAGAGGCTAATGTCCTGAAAGGGCATGAAGGTGGAGTTCTAGCTGCGAGGTTCAACAGCGATGGCAATTATTGCCTCAGCTGTGGCAAGGACCGCACCATTCGCCTCTGGAATCCTCACCGTGGTATTCACATTAAGACCTACAAATCACATGGCCGTGAAGTCCGCGACGTCCATGTCACCCCGTAATTCCTTTATCTTCTTCCCCTTTTCTGTGAAGAATTGGAGTGTTCCTCAGATTTCAATTTTAGGGCTCGTCTGCACTTTAACTAATGTCTGTGTTGTATGTATGTTCCTCTATTTGCTTTAGAGACAACTCCAAGTTATGTTCATGCGGCGGTGATCGGCAAGTCTTCTACTGGGATGTATCTACAGGGCGTGTCATTCGGAAATTTCGGGGACATGATGGCGAGGTTAACCGTTTTCTTTTATATTTATGATTTCAAGTTCAATTTTCGAACCATCTAACAGTTTATTGAAAATTTCCAGTTGGATCCTTCGTAATCTTTGTTTTCTTTTCTTCTATTCAAACTACCTTTGGAAGAATTAAATTCATCTCACTTGATTTCATTTCTTGTAATCTTGCAATTATCTACATTTTTCTATTTTAGGTGAATGCTGTGAAATTTAATGAGTATGCTTCTGTCGTAGTCTCAGCCGGCTATGATCAATCATTGCGTGCTTGGGATTGCAGATCCCATAGCACTGAGCCAATTCAGGTTTGAATTTTTACTTCTTACTTCACTTCTCAAAAAGTTTCATTAGCTGTCAGTCTAGTCGATTGTTTATCTTATTTGCTTGTTCTTCAGATCATTGATACATTTTCAGACAGTGTAATGTCTGTTTGCTTAACAAAAAGTGAAATTATTGGAGGAAGTGTTGATGGCACTGTTCGAACTTTTGACATGCGAATTGGCAGGTATGTAGTCATGTGTGGGGTGGGCGGGAGGACTTTGCTAGGATTGCAATTGTTATGACAACATCCCATCTGTTTTACAATGAAGATCAATTGAGCTTTTTTTAACTTCTCTTACAAACCAGAATTTTAGCTAAATGATTTATTAAAATAAGATAGTGTTGTTACTTTTGATTCCCTCACAAAGGATTCTTCTTTAACAATTTGGTTGTGTGCTGTGGGTAGATTTTTGTTTCTCGTCCAAGAAAAAAATGGAAGAGAGAAACTGGATTTTGAAAATAAGTTTTTAAACTAGGCAAAGACGAGAAGCCCCTTGCATTCGCTAATGACAACTCGTCTTTTTTTTTTTCTACGAATAGAGAAATATCAGATAACTTGGGGCAGCCTGTAAATTGTATCTCCATGTCCAACGATGCTAATTGCGTATTAGCTAGTTGCTTAGATTCAACTCTCCGACTATTGGACAGGTATGTTTAACTTTTGTAATAATGTAAAATGTTTCTGCACGCGTGTTTATTAATTTTCAAAATTCTTAAACTGGTTTTTTTTTCATGTAAGGTCTTCTGGTGAGCTATTACAAGAATACAAGGGCCATACTTGTAAGGTTAGCATGATCTGAATCTTGGCAGTGCCATACTCCGTTTAATTTAGTATGTTTAACAATCAAATTTATACGAATAATGGGTATGTCATCATTATTTTTTCCTGTACTTTTGTACTCCATCTGTGTTCTTATAGATCCTTGAAGTAATTTTTATGTGTACTCTCATCATATTCTTCAAATTTAGACACCTTCTATTATTTTTCAATCTTGACTATCATACTTTATTAGTCGGTACATCTCTGGTGTTTTCACTAGTCTTACAAGCTGGATTGCTGCCTTACCAATACTGATGCACATGTAACTGGCGGATCTGAGGATGGATACATTTATTTCTGGGATTTAGTAGATGCATCTGTTGTCTCCAAGTTTCGAGCTCATTCCTCTGTTGTAAGTCTTTATTCCTTCACCTGCTCGGTTTATGTGATCTAGTGCATCCCTCTCTCTCTCTCTCTCTCTCTCTCTCTCTCTCTCTCTCTCTCTCTCTCTCTCTCTCTCTCTCTCTCTCTCTCTCTCTCTCTCTCTCTCTCTCTCTCTCTCTCTCTCTCTCTCTCTCTCTCTCTCTCTCTCTCTCTCTCTCTCTCTCTCTCTCTCTCTCTCTCTCTCTCTCTCTCTCTCTCTCTCTCTCTCTCTCTCTCTCTCTCTCTCTCTCTCTCTCTCTCTCTCTCTCTCTCTCTCTCTCTCTCTCTCTCTCTCTCTCTCTCTCTCTCTCTCTCTCTCTCTCTCTCTCTCTCTCTCTCTCTCTCTCTCTCTCTCTCTCTCTCTCTCTCTCTCTCTCTCTCTCTCTCTCTCTCTCTCTCTCTCTCTCTCTCTCTCTCTCTCTCTCTCTCTCTCTCTCTCTCTCTCTCTCTCTCTCTCTCTCTCTCTCTCTCTCTCTCTCTCTCTCTCTCTCTCTCTCTCTCTCTCTCTCTCTCTCTCTCTCTCTCTCTCTCTCTCTCTCTCTCTCTCTCTCTCTCTCTCTCTCTCTCTCTCTCTCTCTCTCTCTCTCTCTCTCTCTCTCTCTCTCTCTCTCTCTCTCTCTCTCTCTCTCTCTCTCTCTCTCACAGTTATTTTTGATGTTTATGATAAAGTTTTTAGAATAAAAAAAGCTGCATATTCATTCCGTAGTTTTCATTCTAGACCTCTTATCTGAGCTTTAATAATGTTCTAGTAGGCAATAGATGACCTTTAGAATGTAGTGAGTGTGATTTGACACTGAAACAGCTTTTTTTTTTTTTTTGCACAAATTATAGGTAGTCAATATTTACACTGCATGCATCTGCAAATCTCACAAACTGCAACTTATGCATGCTTATGTTTAGCTCCTATGTTTGTTACTCCATCAACTGGATTAGAAATTGATCGTTCATTGAGATAAAATGAAAGAATACAAATGGGCATAAAGAAGAGTGCGAATTGTTTGGTCAACTTAGTCTTGTTCGCAAGGTCATGTCTACATAGAAGCACTCTCACAATTTAGGGATGTGGTGACGGACTGTGGGCACAGCCTAAGCTCCCCCATGCACATGGATATAACAACAAAATTGTCATTGGGCCAAAATCACACACATTCTCTACTTGATACTCACACCAAGATCTCCAATCAACCGCCATCTGCACATTGGAGAAGCTGGATAAAATTTACTTGAATGCACTAATACAAGCACCTGACAAGATTGAAAACACTCTGGTAGAAGACTTAACTTCGGATTGATTGAAGGCATCACCACGTAAATGCTCTTTGTCTCTATGTAGCCAAGTGCATGTGTTCTTTCAAGGTTAAACAATTATATTTGTAAGTCATAGAAACGACCCCTACAAGCATCCCAAGGAAGGGTTTATACATCTTACTCATTAAGGCTTAGAAACTGGAGTGGGCATTGGCTAAGTCCAAGGGTATCAAGAACTTGAAATTTCCTTTATGCATGCAAAATGCTGTCTTGAAAAAATTCACCAGTTAAACCCAGATTTACTGATATCTTAGATTCCAAAGCCAGCTTTGAGTAATGGTGGTTCTGCTTAGTTAATCAAGCAGTCGTCTAGGAGTCTATGACAGATCAGGAACTTGTGTGAAATGAGTTTTTTTTTTTTAAGTGTTATAATCTGTATGTAAATCACCATCTTTATTGATCATTTTGTCGAGTGTGGATGAGAAAGAATGGGGCTGGAAATTGATCTCCTGCTCTGTTGAACGATTCCACTGACATCTGTCATACCAGGCATTTAATCACGTTCTTCTATACCTGTGAGTAATGTTAATGGGCCTAACATTACCGGGGTGGTGTCACTAAAAAGATTGTCACTTCCTTCAACAGTACACCGTTTTATCTGTGATCAATCTTGAAAAAAGTTAAGAGGATTGTTTTATTGGAGAGAGTTTACCAATCAGATGAGTTATTAGTGGAGTCCAAGTTCATTGCTTGCCTTGCAGGCACGTTAGAAGACCTCGTCCTAGCACCCGAAAACTTAAAGTTCTTCAGATTGTTACCATATGAGGACTGTTTTGGTAGGTCAACTCTTATAATGATTCAGTGACATGACCTCTCGGCTTCACTAAAGCATCCATCAAAGTGCAAACTGTAAACTTTTTAGATGGGTCAAGAGTTAAATTCTAGGAATCATTCAAAGTCGTTAAAGAATTGACTTAGAAGATAGGAAAGAGGGGCCGACTCTACAATTTCATCATCTTTAACATTACTTCGAAGCCCCATATCCCAAACTTCGTTTTCAGCATTCCAAACATCATTCGCAGTAGCATTAGATCGATTGGAGAGCCTATACAGCTTAGGATACAGTACAAGGGGGCCAACTCAGTATCATTGACCCAAACATCATGCCAACAAGAGGTGTGAATACCCTTGACCAAACATCTTCTAATATAGGTTTTAACCATCCCAAACATCATGCTAAATAGATCTCCATGGAGCTTTTGAAGACCTAAATTGGAAGATATTGCCAACATTGGTTTCCGGCCATAGGGTAGTACTTTGCTTTAATGACATTCTACCAAAGAGCACCATCTTCACAGAGGCATATCCATATCCATTTAGATAAAAGAGCGTTGTTTCGATGCTTGAAATTGCCTATACCTAAACCAACCGTTGAAGACAAAGTTGAGTTTTTGCTCAACTCACCTGTGCATCCGCCATCTTCCTTAGCACCTTCCCAAAGCAAGTTCCTAATAATATTTTCAATTGTTTTTGCAATTTTGCTTGGCATCTTGAACAAGGATAGATAATTCAAAGACGTTAGAAAGGGTAGATTGGATGAGTGCTTGCCTACCTCCTTGGAGATGAAAAGAAAACCTCCATTTTTTAAGCCTATGTTGGATTTTCTCCACAATTGATGTCCTGAATAATATTAGCTCAGGGGTTGGTTAAAAATGTTCTCTCGGATGTTAGAATCATGGGATGAAGAGCTGCAGCAATGGGTGGTTTTAAATGTCATTGTTTCCTTTGAGTCAATAGAGTATTGAATGAGACCATTCTATTCCTCATTAATGTTAGGTGCCCCTCCACCCCCTAATTCCATCTTCTTTTTAGGAACGTAGGATATCGATGCAATGACGTTCAGAGATCATCATCTTATGACATTTTTGTCTTTCACTTCCCTTTATATCTTTTTCTTTAATTCTCTGTATTCCTTACTTTCAATTTTATGCTAAAAATAATTATCAATACATTGATGTCATTCACTACTAAATAGCTACATGGAATTAATTTGTATCTGTATCCACATTTATATCAAATGAATTTCTATTAAATTTGTTAATATCTCATTTTACAATTAATTGAACACTAATTAAAGTATAATTGCACTAAAATTAAATTAACTTTGATTATATAAAATTCTAATTAAGTTAAGTTGTTCTAATAATTGAATTTAAATTTAATGAATGTATTGTCTTTCCTTATAGTTAAATATGTAATTTATAATGAAATATTTAGTTGATGTGAATTAAGTGGCGTAGAAAATAAACTGAACTTTGAGGATACTGTAGAGTACATTCAGGGTATTACCATTATCGGAAAAAACGTTTATATTTATGAAATTGTATATAATCATAATGCATTCTTGTGCAGAAAGTGCTTTTATTTTAATATATATACATATTTGATAAAGAAAAAAACATTGTTATCTAAATACTCATATACAAGTACAGCAAGATGGAAATTAAGGCGATGGTGATGGTTCTAAAATACACAGATACTTACAGAGGCTTCTTTCCTTCTTTCCTTTTCACAGGTGACGAGTGTGAGTTACCACCCGAAAGATAAATGTATGATAACTGCCTCGGTAGACGGGACGATTCGGGTTTGGAAGACATGAGGACCAAGAGTAAGGAGAAATGAATTTACTCAACTTATTAATAATGCACATTATGCTGCTCTGAGGTGTTTAATTTTCCACTTCTTGATACAATTTAATGCAGTTATTCCAATCTTGAATTATTAGAGTTTGAAACCTGTGGTGTTTAAGAGCCACAATAATGCTGCTGAATATTAATTTATCAATCAATATCAAATTGACATAGACGGATTGACAATAAGAATCCTTACGAGTACAATAATTCATGATTTTGGGTCATTAACTTAATGAAGTTGCTTGATAACGTTTGATTACTTGACTGAAAAGTTGTTTCTTATTGCTTGGGGTCTCAAACTTGAATTCAGTTTACCCTACAAGTCTTAGCTGTACAAGATAAGATAGGTTTTGATATCAAGAGATTTAGAACAATCTCAACCCCCTAATTTATTGTTCTACCCTTACTTGATACAGTCCCATTACGTACACTCATAGGCAGCCTGCATTGTACAAGAGTTTTCACCTGGTGGATTACAATTCGTTTTAGACCATTTTATGTTGAAAGTTGTATCTCAAAACTGATAATTTCAAGTGAATTAGTTGAATATTTATTGTCCATTCTCTGGAACTTCTTGTGTAGATTTCTGGCATTTAGATTGATCTCCTGTGTGCTTTGTTTCAGGTTCTGCAGAATGCCAATCGTAACCGAAACGTAATATCTGGTTGCTTTTTGACTGATCATCCAAACCCTCTCTATGCCTCAAACTTAGTCCTTGATGGGTATCAGCTAAAGCTCATAAACTTGTTTGTTGTCCATTCCAATTCCGAACTACGACGACGAAACCATATTGTTTTATGACGTTTGTGCAACTCTCATTCATTGAAGTCTTTATTCCTTTTATCAGTGTCTAAATCATCCATCAAATCATCAGGTAAAGAACTGGAAGAGAGGCAATCAGCAATGGTAAGACACTTTGTTTGCCCTCAAAATGGAAGAAAGTGCAGAAACATATTCATTACAGAGCCAAAACAAAGGTTGATACTCCTTAAATTTGGTGTACCAAATTTACAAGAATCAAGTGGCATTGGGTTACACTGACAAAAGTAAATGAAGATTGTGTTGAACACAAGTCAGTAGTTGGACCTGCCTTCCAAATTCATTAAATTTCCATCATAATATCACTTTGAAATATCCATCTCCATCTGACATCATTTCCTATGTCTTCTTCTGGCTTTCAAGCTTCACCTACTCGTCATTATTCAGTGTTCCCTCTCTCTCACTTAACTTCAGCTTATGTGTTTTGGACTTTTCACTCTCTAGCTTCATTCAGGCGGTAGTTATACTCACTCAACCCTATATTTATTTATTCCAAATGAGAACTAACAGCCTAAGCCGCCTAGGCTTACCGTTAACTGATGTTATCCTCTTTAAATTTTTCTTTCAAGAACTTTCTCTCAAGGTTCTTAAAATGTCTGTTCGGGAGGAGTTTTCACACAATTGCAATAAATGTTTTGTTTCCTTCTCCAACTGATGTTGGATCTCATGTTAAGATAGAAAAATTATAAATATTTAGGTAAATTACAAATTTAGACCTTGTTTGATATTCATTTATTTTTTTTATCTTTTAAAAAAAGTTGTGGGGTTTCTCACAATTTCTTAATGGTGTTTTGTGTTTTTTATTCTCATGTAAATATTAGAGTTTTTAGCTAAATTCTAAAAATAATAATTTGTTTTTCAAAACTATTTCTTTTAGCTCTCAAATTTTGTCTTAAATTTTAAAAATGCTCCTAAAATGTAAGCAACAAAATATGAAATCAATAGTCATTATAGACATCATTAAACTAAAAAATAATAAATAAAATCATTAAATTACAACTTTGGTCCAAATTAAAATTTAGTCCGGTTTATGAGTATTTTATCAAATCATAAAAAAGAATTCTAACTTTACAAAATTTGAACTTTTCCCGTACCATATGGATCAAATTTGTAATTTAACTTTTGAAAGTAAACTTTGATAAAATGAGTATCATTAAACTTACAAACGATGTCTAAATCAAAATTATTGGTTATTTTTTTATTTTACATTTTTTAAATATTTTATACTTTTGAAATTAAATCCATGGAAAATAATATAGTTGAAGCTAGCAATTAATCGATTCATTGATTCTTTTTAATATATAGTTTTATTGCGGCATAAATTTAACATATAAATTAACCCAATATTCTTTTTCCTACATTTTTCATATCTCAAATTATTCCCAAAAAAAAAAAAAAGAATACAAAAGAGAGGAGAAGAGAATACACGAATATTGTTTGGGAATTAATTCCAATGGGTTTAATTCATGAGTTGTAAATTTCCACAAATGATTTCATCTAAAAATTAACCTTTTCATTGTTAAAAAAAAAAATTTAATAAATATTCTTTTTCATCTATAAATTTAACTAGAGAAGACTAAATGGATTCTTTATCGACCTCTTATTTCATTCTCTATCATCGTAAAATTTCTCATTTATTTTTAAGTCGATATAGGCAAAAAGAAATTCTATCCAAGTAATTTCTTTTCATTTATATATATTATACACGTGGCTAAAGAAGAGACAGAGGTTGGCCTGGCGCTAGGCTGGATTCCTCATTTCAACACATGGGGGGCTGCCTCCCATTGTCTCCCTCTTCCATACTTTCTAAACCCCCAAACCCTATTTTCTCTCTCTAAAATTCCATTTCACTTTCCACCAAACCAAAACAACTCTACCCTTACACCTGTCTTCCATCATCATCCCACCGTTCATTTGACCACTAAATTTTTTAAATTACAAATTTAGTAATTCATATATCAACTTTAAAAAAAAAAAAAAAAAAA